CTCTATAAAAATTCACTACTTACACATTTTCAGTAGTTACTGGTGGCTTTGTTCTTTCAAGTGGAGGCTCAGAGAACGTGTACTGGTTTAATGCTTCTATGCTGGCTATTTCATCACCTCCTGTTTCAAATCTCACACCACTTGTTTCTGAAATTTGCCTTTTTAGACTAATGTCTGATGGATGATGACAAGCTTCAAAAATCACCTGGGGCTGCAAGAACAATTTTGTGGAATTTCAAGAAATTAGTTTGATTAAATCTAATTGTGGTGGTGCAAAATTTCAAATTATGACCTAAATTGTAAGACAACTAGGTTTTATCTCATAATATCTTGTCAACAAATATGTATTGACAAGCCACTTTCTAAACATGGGTTTTCACCATAAAGGAATCAGAACATGAAATTCTCTTACAAAACCTGCGAATACAGTTAACAAACCACAGATTTATACACAAATTTGCGCACGCACCCACTCACTCACTCACACACGGGAAGCAAAGACCCACACTTATAAGCATCTACACTGTTTTTCGTTAAAAACAAATGTGATACTTAATCTATCAATTGCTATCAAAGGAACCGATACAATTTTCGAGATAATATTTAAATGTTTCAAAATTTCAAAAAAATATATTCGATAACTGAACAACAATGGGCAAAAACATGGGTTACCCCTAAAAAGGGAAAGTCAAGCAAACAACATAATGCTCCTGAATGAAAGACCTCTACAGATTCAAGAGAATTAAATTTTACAGTTTTTTTATATCACTTTTCATCAGTATTATGTAGTCTACCATCTTGAATTTTCCTGCAAAGGATTATGAGAAAATTGAGAAAATGATTTCATTTATAATTTAAGAAATGATGATGCGAATTAGTTCAAATTTCATTATGCATATTACTCGTATATATAATTATATAAATGAAAATTTGAAAGTTTAAAATACACAAAAAGTAAAGATATTGCCAAAAGGGTAATTTTATAAAAATCATTATTTTGCAGTTTAATATAAAGCTACTTTCATCAAAAAATTGTATAAATATATGATTGAATTGAACATTTCGTAGACGAATGTACCGTAAGTATATTTTACGTTCTGTTGCAATGAAAACTACTGTATGTGTACAGTTGACACTGGTATGCTACCTTGTTCTAAACTTTCAACTAATTTGCGAATGAAAAGTGATATAAAAAACAGTAAATTTCATTCTCCTAAATTTGTGGATCAGTCTTTCATCATCTTGGAGAATTATGTTGTTTGCCCAGCCTTCCCTTTCAGTAATTTCTGTAAAACAAAACCTGGAAAAATTGAAATATAAATTAAAGTCATATTATTTTTATTTGATATATATATACTTCAGTACAATATCCACAAAAATTCGCATTGACAAAAATTTGAATAAGAGCTATAAAATAGGTGAACTAGACGCCAGGTACTAATTATCTGTGAAACTTTAAACTATATCAAAAAAGTGTTCACTTCTTTGTGTTACAAAACATATTGTAACATGTCATTTTGAGAGATGGAAAACCAGGTATGAGAAGTTGTGGATAGAAAAAACGGTTCATATATATATATATCACATAAAAAAAAACTAATGACAGAAAATGAAAGTTACCAATAATAGGATGGGAAATACACCATGATCCAACATTGTTTATATCACCATATGGCAGATCACCACTACCGGTATTTTAAATTAGTGACACAAATGATACATAACACATAGCACAGTAAAACATAGATGTGTGATTCAATGAGTGGATATACTATGACACGTATGTGCTGCAGAGATACAGAGGTCAGGCTCACATGGTCAATGTGTTAAGTCAGATCATACCACAGTAAAACATAGATGTGTGATTCAATGAGTGGACATACTATGACACGTATGTGCTGCAGAGATACAGAGGTCAGGCCCACATGGTCAATGTGTTAAATCAGATCATAGCACAGTAAAACATAAATGTGTGATTCAATGAGTGGATATACCATAACATGTATGTGTTGCAGAGATACAGAGGTCAGGCCCACATGGTCAATGTGTTAAATCAGATCATAGCACAGTAAAACATAGATGTGTGATTCAATGAGTGGATATACCATAACATGTATGTGCTGCAGAGATACAGAGGTCAGGCCCACATGGTCAATGTGTTAAATCAGATCATAGCACAGTAAAACATAAATGTGTGATTCAATGAGTGGACATACTATGACACGTATGTGCTGCAGAGATACAGAGGTCAGGTCCACATGGTCAATGTGTTAAATTGAATCATAGCACAGTAAAACATAGATGTGTGATTCAATGAGTGGATATACTATAACACGTATGTGCTGCAGAGATCAGGCCCACATGGTCAATGTGTTAAATCGAATCATAGCACAGTAAAACATAGATGTGTGATTCAATGAGTGGATATACTATGACATGTATGGGCTGCAGAGATACAGAGGTCAGGTCCACATGGTCAATGTGTTAAATCAGATCATAGCACAGTAAAACATAGATGTGTGATTTAATGAGTGAATATACTATGATACGTATGTGCTGCAGAGATACAGAGGTCAGGTCCACATGGTCAATGTGTTAAATCGAATCATAGCACAGTAAAACATAGATGTGTGATTCAATGAGTGGATATACTATGACACGTATGTGCTGCAGAGATACAGAGGTCAGGTCCACATGGTCAATGTGTTAAATCAGATCATAGCACAGTAAAACATAGATGTGTGATTTAATGAGTGAATATACTATGATACGTATGTGCTGCAGAGATACAGAGGTCAGGTCCACATGGTCAATGTGTTAAATCAGATCATAGCACAGTAAAACATAAATGTGTGATTCAATGAGTGGATATACCATAACATGTATGTGCTGCAGAGATACAGAGGTCAGGCCCACATGGTCAATGTGTTAAATCAGATCAGCTACAATCTTTTTTTAGCGTGCAATTAATCATTGCAACAAAGCAATGAACTTTAGGCTGTGTAACCAATATTTTTTTAATTTTTATTGTTTCGTTTGTGATTAACATTGACTAGACCCACAGATTTTGTTCATGTACAAAATGTACTGTTTTATGTATGGTATGTTTTTAGAAATAGCTCAAATGTTACCTAGTTTTAGACAATCTAAATCTTTCCAGGACGGTTACAAAAATAGGTTGTGAGTTTTGGTCAGAGACAGGTTTGTTCTAGGTAGAATTTGGCAGTCACCAGACCATGGACATTTGATATATACAGTATGTATGTACCGGTGTGTTCCATATCCACATGGGAAAAGTACATTCACAAATACAAAATTTAAACATTTGTAGTGCAATTTAATGGCCACTGTTAAACTCCACTACAATCTACACCTAATACTGTAAAATGATTAATTTTCACTGGATTTAAATTTCAATGATTTAGTGTTTCAGGCATATTCTGAAGGTTTTAAATTCACGGTTTTGGTTTTAAATTCACGGTTTTATCATATAGATAATGTGTTCTATGGAAAATTTTACATATTTACAGAAAGGAAATAACTGATACACATCACAGTATAAATTATTACAAATACAAATTGAATATACAAACAGGTAACAAGATCAATATTATTTGGCTCAGTCTAAAAAAAGTACATTTTCAGTCCAGTCAAGGGGGACAAGCAAGTTTGTTTATTTGTGTTCAGCTTATTCTTTATAATGGAGAAGCTTATACACAGGTGAGCTTATTAAAGATAATTAATAAAGTTTCACAAAACATTGAGAATAGACCTACATGTATTTTGTGTTCACTGCTTGATCCTGTGTTATGTGTGAAATTTAACAAAAAACAGAACAATAGCGTCATAGCGTCGCAGTGAAATCAAAACATTGCATGGGATACAACAAAATGTAAGTATTGGGGGGGGGGGGGTTCATGCTTAATAATGTGCTATATACAAAAAGAAGTGAAATTTAAAATCAAACTGTACAATTTTTGCCGTAGACGTTCGGTTTGTGCTTGTCATGCAATACGCACCATCTCTCAGTAAACAGAAAATCCCATATTTCTCTCTAATTTTTTGGTTCACTTGGTTACAAATTATTGCAAGTGAACAAGAATAATGGACAGCTGGACTGGAACAGGAATACTTGGACAAAACTGATGAACAATGTAACACTGGACTGATGAATGTTAAGAACCTAATGCATTATTCCCCTGAAGTGAGTAAAAAGGCATCACCAATGCTGTTTTATAGTCTACATTGATGCAAAAGAAGACAGGCACCATCCATGTTAGTGAAGAAATTAAGTTTCAAGCTTTGAGCAAATGATATGGTTTGAAATAGCAGGTGGTTATGCACTGGGTATGCATTCTGGATTAAAGGAGTAAAAGAAATTATACAAACTTCGAACATTTCTTTTTCAACAGAGAGTAATCGTCTTAACCGTCTCATACTAGGTCTGGATTTCTTCTGTGATATTCCATCAGTCTGTTCAATACAACAGTAAATTATGTCATACTGTCTTGGTATCCATGCCAACCATTGCTAGTTTAATAGTTGAACTAATAACGCTGGTTGTTAGTCAGCAAAGAGCAGCAATTTTTCTTATAAATGCAGTTGAATCTAACAACCTTTTAAATATATATGACTGTCATGAAATCTTGACAGACTACGCATGCCCCACTACAGCAACTATGCTGACTTATTTGACACTCAATAGCTATTTCGAAACCGAACCAAGATATATTTCAGAATGTGCTAGAGATGGCGGTGGATGTAGGAAAGATGCCATACAGTACTTATAAATAGGAGTTCAAGAAACAATTATTGCACTTTTGCGTACAAGGAAGTCTTCAAAACAGGCTACATTAGTCCTTCTAGTACAGGAGAGCTGTACAGATGCTTAAAGTACACTCTGAGTACTTATTACCTACCTGTCAATTTGAGTATATTGTAGGCTTAAAGTACAATTTAAGTATTCATCTCCTACAAAAAGAATTACCTCTTGTTATCATTCACTGCACTACCAGAGGTAGGAATGTAATCAGAGGATAGTTCTGTACAATTAGAATGGACAACAACAACACATCTCACTACATACCTCATAGTTTAACTCTTGGTTTGTGAGTTTCATTTCTCTTAAGATTTGATTTCTTTGGTGCATCTCTAATGTTCTTTCATATGCATAGGCAGATATATCACTAGTAGGCTGAAAAAAAAATGAAGAGTTATTAATACCTTATACAAACACCTTTTGCCGAAAATCCAAGATGGTGGCAAAATCACGCGACTGGTCAGAATTATTTGTCTGACAAATATATATATTGAATAGTGACAGAATAGGCAATATTTGGTTTTCATGTCATGTTTGGCTGTTGTTTAAATTTAATCAGATAACTGGTGGTTTATTAGAAATCAGATTTCAAATGAAGCAAAATAAACCACACAACTAATCACACAATGATAAACCAACAATGACATACTGTAAAACATGTCTTTTTCGCGAGCATGTCTTTTTAGCGAATTTAGTGAGGGAACTTGTTCACTTATTTAAGATGTCACTAATGACTTCATTATAAATTCAAAATGGCGACCAAACAACGTCTTTTTCTTCACACACACACATACTTTGTAAACAACACAGACAATGTAATAATTTGAAGCACTTCCTTATAACACTCGACATTTTTTTTTTTCATTGAGGTGATAGCTGCGCATTTGTTTTGTCAGGCGACAGACAAGTATTGTGAAAACGGGAAATCAACAAAGACAAGAGAGATTTGCTAAATCAACATTTCCCTATTTTTACCACAATTCGCTAAAATAGTATGTCGCTTTTTCAACATGTTTTACAGTAGTATTTAGTTGAATAGCGGGGGTGATTAACAAAATTGATTATGGCACACTAAATAGACAAAATGTTTTTGTAAAAACTACACAAATTATACTGAATCTGATATCTATACAGTACATACATCCTAGTACACTTTCTTCAGTAGGTGTAATGATCCTTTGAAAGCACATCAGTTATAATCTGTTCAGCTGTCCAACAATTCACAATTTTCTAATCTAAATTCCGCTAAATGTGGCTGCATCCACTTCAAACGGATCGTAATGAAGAAAGACTTACCATCTCCACAACTTCTAACTGTGCGTCAATACGTAAATGATAAAAGAAACTAGTAAGATCTTTTTTCATTTTAATACTATTGTCCTGTATCTGTGCAACAGCAAATATTCGCAGTTTACAATTCTTCCATACTTTGTGTTGTTTGAGAAGAAATGGCAGCAGAACAAGCATACCACCATCATGTAGAATCCACCAGACATCAATAGTGCCGCTAACTCTGTCCTTGATATCAGGGAAGTCCTTGATTCCTTTCGGGACGAGCACAGCTAGCTGTGAAGAATGTGCATAATCAAGTACATCTGTAAAGTAAGAACAAAATATATGAGAATATCAGAATACACTGCAGTGATGGACAAACGAAATACAGTGTTTGCACAGCCATACTATCAAGATTTTGGTGGTTATTACGATGTGTATACGCAGGATATATTTTCCATATTAATAATGATGGCAACTTAGATTGTTGCACAGAACAATGCGTACAAAAAAGAAAGAAAGAAAGAAAGAAAGACTACCAAAGTTTAACTATGCAATTCCTGGGATGATTGAAACGTACTGAAGATTCAAAGCCTGTATTTGGTACACATCTTGACCAAATCAAAACTTACAGCAGTACATTCATGGCACAGGGGACAGCACATTGGGTTGTGAGAAAATCATTGTTTATCAACACAAATCTTACACATGTAAAGAGCCACACAGCATTAAACCCATCTAATATGTGTCACTTCACATGTGTTTTCCTTTGCATTAGCTATTGCAATCGCACATAATAACCCCCCTCCCCCCCATACAGGCAGACCTCAAGGTCCAATACTATGGTAATGTACAGTTTATATGATAGAAATTATCTGCAGTACTTACCAAGAAACGTATTATATGTATCATCATTATGGCTTTCTTTCCAACCATAAGGCCAACCAATAAGTAAGGTATTTGGTCTCAAACCACCCAAACCAATAGTCTGTATTCTGGAAAAAAAAAAAAAAAAAAAATTATTTCAATTATTTCAAAATTAAACAACATTTATAATGATTTTGTCTTTGATTGGATTCAACAGTTTTGTACTTCTGTCCACAGCATAAATATTTTTTATATTTTGCAACAACTATTGATTTAGTAACCACAGATTTTACTGAGTAATCAGTTATCTTGCATGTTGAAATCAATCATGTACATAATTGAGTTTATGCTGACTAGCGCCACCTATGGCAGACTTTTGAACACTTTGTTTTTAAGTACTATTAAATTGAATGCAGTGTGCATTCACGTTTACTTCTAGGAGTAAATACAGAAAGAAAGTGAGGGCACTACAGTAAGAAATGCAAGATATATAAAAGTTTTACTCACAATACATTCAGGCCTTCAGAAACATCTTTCGTTATCATAACATTGGTAAAACCTTTCAACCTTTCACTGACCATAGCACTTCTGAGATTCTATCAAAGAATGAAAATAATTCATTCTCATTTTATATAACTATTTTAAAAATTGGACATTCTTATCGTCTGATTGTATGCACGAATGGTCATCATCTGATTGGAAAAAAAACAGTCGATCATACCCAAAGTTTTCCAAATTACCAAAACAGTTTATGGACAACGTTGATACTGCAGATCATAAGATAGTACTATTCTGTGTGCATCAATTTTTATCAGTGTGTCGGTCAGCCGACATCAACCATGTATATATGGAACACACAGGCACTGATTGTGTTGAAATGCATTGCTAATTCACATACAATACAAGAGTACATAGAGCAAGCACCAACTATTAGCTAATAATGTAGAGCAATTTTTTGTTATATTCTTCCATTGTCAGAGAAAATGAAACAGATTTGTTTATGATATGATGCAATCAATCATAGATCACTTAGTGGTAACTAGTTTACGATATTTGGTGAATAATGCAAAATAAAACATTTCATTGAATTTGATCTTCAATCAAAACAAATGATTAAAAAAAATTGACAATGCTTGACAAACATGTACATAATGACATGGCAGTGTCATGAAAACACAATTACGCTACAAACAAACGCATGCAAGTCACAGAAATGTTCTCTCTACAGGATGTGAAAGTTGTTTATTACCTAGTAATGCAAAAAATAAATTCGTTGAATTGTTATGAAATGCAAATAAATTTCAACTTATTATTTTAAACTCTCGATGCTGTAGAAATGACTATCCGCCATGTTTTGACCTGGGACAGTGTTCTTTGACCTGACAGGTCAAATCGCTAATTAACCAATGAAAACGATGGATGATGCCAACGTGTTCAAATTACCATAGCTCATTTAAATAACTTAATGTTAGTATTATTACCACCACTACTTTCAATTACTTACACCTAAAGTTTGACATTCATTTGTCCTACATAGGAAAGATGTTGTGAAGCATCAATTGATATGTTATGTTTGTATCTGTGATGTCATTTGCTCTGCAGTTTTCCTCAGACACTGACACAGACTTTGAAACACATAAGAATGGATAGCTAGTTTCAAGCTTACCTCCTTAGCCTCATTAGTCTCTTCTTTTAGATTGTCTGAATTTGACCCTTGTACAACTGAGGCAACAATACACAGACCGCGACCTAAAAAAAAACAGAACCGACAGTCTTTTTCAATGAGAGAAATGTACACACATAGCACAGCATAAACAAATGAGGACATGGGCCTCTTGCTCATCCTTGACTATCCAATTCAGCCTCTCCTCTTTATTGAAACATTTGTAGCAATCTGAATCATTTACAGCAATCATAACTTAAATCACAGTGAAAGGTTTGATTTGTTTTACTATAAACAAAACTAAGAACACTCCAGTGAATATGAAAAGTTAAACATAGAATGCATCATTTCTTTCATAAACCAGTAACTTTGAAACCTAGTGAATATCCATGCAATGTGAAAACCTGATAACACTGTGTTGTTAAAGCGGGCGTGTCGTCACCTGCGCATGCGTCAGATGGCCATAGCATGTCACAAACAAGCGTCTACCCATGAGCCTTTGCATTATTATCGTGTTGTTATCGACACTTGGGACTCAATTCCCGCGCATACGTAGGTGATGATCCTCTCTCTCTTTAACAGTGCTTTGCTCCTATACACTTTTTATATAAGTTGCCCCTCTAACAATCCAGTACTTCTATGCAGTGAATGGATGACACATAAAAGTGCTAATATCATTTTGATCTGTAGCTCTTCATCAGTAAATTTTTTTTACTATAATCTAGAAGAAATATAATTACACAACCAGGGAAGTTTGTTTGAATGACATTGCTGTTACCATAGACATCATTTTGTCATCACAGAAAGTGTGACTCATAGGAATGATATATGGGATAGATAGTATTCAAAGAAAACATACATGAAAGTATTTTTACCTGCTTTGAGCTGTCCAGCAAGGGTCAATAATTTCTTATACCTCGGCTGTAATTCAGCATCCAATTTCATTAACACCAGTAACTGTGGTCTGAAATTAATCATTTTACAATTGACAATCTTATAAAACAAAAAAAAGGTAATGTTGAATAGCATTTTGTCACATGTGGCTTCTTTTAGTATAAGAAACTTTAAGTTCTA